CTGTAGATTAGTGAGCCAAGCATTCATTAATGATTTTCTAGACTCCTAGACTTTTATCACGTACGTCACATCAAGATTAGTTTGCGGTCTAGATTAGCGTTCACAACGCAAATGTGTTCATTTCATGCACACGTCGCCCTAACTTGGATTGGATACTTCGATATAAACAATATGTCACGGAGACATACATAATATCCTCAATGAAACTGCATCAAATACGGTTAACTTTGTAATAATTTCGCTCTAACAAAGTACTATATGTCCGTACATGCACAATAATCTATTTAAATTTTGTGAAAAGAAGCGTTTAAACGGTACGTGTATTTTGTAAGATACTATTTCCCCCGGCTGTCGTGTTATGGAATCATTAGCAACGCTCACGCGCATGCGTTTTGCATTACGAGTACGTACCAGTATTTGTAGATAACGCGCGCATGCGCATTGCCTTGGATAATAACAGAGACGATATTTTAATTTACGAAAATGTATAATACATTATGTATAACAAAATACTTCCCCGGAAAGATTGAATACCATGGCCACTGACACCAATTGAATCAAAATGACTTCATTGCCTGAACGACGCTATTTAATATCGGAAACAGGTAGCTATGTGTTTCTAATAGCGGAGCCACAGAAAAAAGTGTATCTGGCATAAAACAATGTAACGTATAGTAAATGAGAACGGACAGACAGGATCGTATTCCCGTACATATTCACTCACATCTATAGATTACAACGTCACGCATTGTCGGGTTGATCCCAGTTGTAAAAAGCGATTAATCTACTTATTCCACAGGGAAAGCTAGTTGTCAACGTCGAGGCGTTGCGCTGTGCGGTTATGTGGTATAGATGACGCTAATTGGTTATTTTACCACCGCGTTCAAGTAACGAAATACAATAATAACGATGGAAGATACACTTCTATGAAGAAGATCGGGTGGAAAGAAGGAGAATACATTTTCGCTCTCTCGACAATCGGCGACGTGCTTCTATCTTTTGAATAAATCACAACGCAAAGAAAAACAATTGCCTTGTATGCCACCATATTATGTGACCTCTTGCGTATTGGCTGAAGGTAACTGACGACCACAGGAGTTCTTCCTTAACTGCGCGTTTGGTCCTTCCGATTGTCCATTTCGCCCGCCACTTTTTTAACGCTTTAAGTAGATCAAATAAACTTGAGTAAATGGTACTCTGTGACACACAATGGCTTCATTGACGCTAAGTCCAGTGGTCCGAGACATATCACAATGAACGACAGTCTGAAAAGGCTGTACAATACACGTACAAGTTAACAAGCAAATTACTATACTTAACACTCAATGAACAAAGGTTCGTTTCATATAGCCTGTCTGTCAATCGCTCGGGTCGCTTTTGGTAACTGCCTCTTACCCTTGCAATTAACATGTGCCATGTGCAGTTAACTTGTGTTAAATGTATTTAAGACTATATATATATATATTCTCACATATAACAATGCTACGGACCATTTTGCACAACCAATATGTAAATAAAAGAATTGAAAAGGAGCGAACCATGTTCCGTACGTTCGCCCGCCATGCACTCTGAAATTAATGCGAGTTTTCTCGTTAACTTTCAAAAAAGGGGGTCTATGATTAAAAAATATGCGATACCTCCCTAAAAATCACGGAGACATGATTGATCAATAAATACAGTCACAAATATTTAACTCAAAAACAAATGTCCGCAGTATGTGGTGGACAAACTAATAAATTGAATGCTAAGATGTAATACTAGGGCAGTCTGAGCGGAATTCAAATTTTGCAATACTTATCATGTTACTGCATATATATGCAATGCATTATGCGAGATGTCAGTCTGTTCACAATCTTAAGATTCATTTGAATGTTTCATCCAGTGCCATCGAGCAAAATATTGAGACATGAATGAATAAGCTCACAAAAAGAAACCGGTGTAAGGTTTGGGTCGATGCGAAGCTATTTTACAAAATTGTATCTGATTGGCTACTCAGTCCTAACAGTCAGACCAATCAGAGAGCAGTTTATTTCGCGGCGTAACAAGCTTTCCCTTTTATAAATACATTAATCATTTTCTTGAATTTTATCCACCCAAAAAATCGTCCGGTAACTCCATTTTTTTTGAATTTCTGTATCTTGATAATATGAGTCAATAAAAAAAATATGACGAGCATATAATTTCTATTCGGCTCGATTCTACGTAATCATAATAAACAGATGAATATTGAGGTAGGAATAAATTACCACATAAATGCTCGGTGTTATCTCTTTGCGTTGCTTTTGATGGATACGTGTACCAGATCTGAATACGAATGACTACTTACTACTACAAAAATTACAAAGACGTATCTGAACATGCAAGGACGTGATGCCCCTATTACACCAATAAGATATTTAAAACAATTAACCACCCCAATTAAGAACAGAGATAAATATTGTTGACCAGCTGTTTCCAAATAAAGTTGATCACATGTGTTTAAATATCACGACGTTCTTCAATAAACCATTATTGAGTACTATTCCCAGTGCAACATACTACAGTCAAGAATAGTTAGTAAACTTTATTAACAGTGCCCGCCTATTCCATCCATTGAATGATCATTTATCTGTAGTCTAGACTATTGAATCTCACCTGGAATTTCCATAATCACGTCTCTCAAAATAAATCTTTCAGTAAATTTGTCCGTTCTAGGATACGAGAGGAATATAAGTAGGTTAGGGGGTCGTTATGTATTCCAGACTATGACCAGGGAGTAATTCAATTGCAGAATGAAACTACGTAGATTTACTTGTTGAACATATTAGACAAGACTTGTGTACGTACACGATTTAGGTTATTTTCTCACCACAGGCTGAGTGTACGTTTTTTTCTCTTTTAACAGAACACTCATAATCTTAGATAAGTTAAGCCTTGGAGTAATTGAGAAGAAAGAATCACACGGCAGATTAGTGATTCAATAAGGACTCTACTGGACTTGCCAATGGCAAAGTTCGCCTGTTAGATAAATACTCGAATTCCTGACGTTGAATGCGGTGTCCATCAAACATGATTACAACGAAGATATCTACCCCCACCACGTGATACGCATCGACTTGCTCAGTCCAGACAACATACGGCATGGTACTGCTCCACAGATTAAAAATACATGTTACGTAGACATCGTATGCTGGATATTGCAATCAGCCTGCATTCCACGGCGTTTAAACGTAACTGACCGTGTTGTATTTGACATCACAGTAGTGACATTGTTTAATTACATGTAGGTACAGACATGAGCCATGAACTGACCGGCATAATCTACTATAAGCAACATACAAATGCGTATTATATCTATATTACACTTTAAATTCAATGTTTTTTTAGTTCAGAAGTCCACAGCGCAAGTAATTCACCTCCTGGTTATAAAAAGTAAACCACCCACTAGGAAATTGGATTATCACAAACTTAGACGCGAATATCGAGTGCCATCATTCATGTTCATACTAGGCAGCAACATGATGTCACAATGGATGTTGACCTATACTACGTATTCTGAGGAGAGGTATTATTGATGAGTGAAAGCTATACGTGCTAATACGACCTTGGCAGTTGTGTTGTCAGTTGAAAGAAGACGCGACAAAATATGAGTTCTTGATTTATAGCAGGAGCTTATTGGGGAAGACGTTGTACAAGATATCTTGATGAATTATTGATAGGGGATATATGTATCACTGTAAAAGCATGTTCATTAGTAACAAACTAGTATGTATGATACCTCGCGTAGTGGTTCTTTTTGGCATTGTCAATTTTATAATTATTTGAAAAAAAATTGTCGCGTCGTTACAAGCTTGTTTATTGTAAAAATGATGACATAGTGTGCGATAATCGCGCAAATAATTGTTGGTATAATAAATTATTTCTGTTAACAGGAAGTTCACTGTAAATGCTAGATGACGTCTGCACCATACACTCATTATAGTTTACATCAGAGTGTGCAGCATATATGTCAGAATGTGCAGCGTATATATCAGAATGTGCAGCACATATGTCAGAATGTGCAGCGTATATATCAGAATGTGCAGCATATACATCAGAATGAGCAGATGCAACGGAACATATTATCAAATATATAATATGCTGCAAAACTGCATATTTATCTGAAGGTTAATAGGATTTGTCACTTGCACAGGTTATATATTTTGTAATTATTGAAAATTATGTCCGACTAGTGCAAAGAATTTAAGTGTTAACAACATATTTTCACCTGAACCAAGCGATGTGCATTTCAGGGAAAATTATTAAATGAGCCACCCTGATATTTTCTGAAAGCATTTTAAAAAGACACATCTAATTAAAGACAAATTCAGTATATCAATATAGTTTGTGTTTATGTCGTGGGATATGTACTGTATGTGTCTTCCACCACTGTAACCTAGTTATGCTTGTTATGTTGTAAATTGTATGTTGATTTCAGACAACTAAACGTGACTAAAAGAATCCGATTTCGATGTGTTTACATTCGCCTCGGGTATCACACGTTGCGTTACTCATTATGGCGCATGAACAATTAAAATGAATTACAGTAAATCGATAATAGTAATGTTTATATTTGGGTTTGATTCAAATGGCGTAACGTCAACTGAAAGCTACTGCGTGACCAGGTTAAGATGAAATGAATCTGATGTATACACTTGTCACATTATTGCTTTGTTTCAATACATCATTTGAAAGTAAACCGGGGCATTATGCAGAGCCTCACATTGCCATGCTGCCGGAGAAAATTCCACCCACAAACTTGCTTTAGATTTACAACTGGCACAGTATGATACTCGTTTAAAACGTAAAAGTGCAGGTAACTGCCGGTCGTGGGAGGATTCTGTAGTCTGTACGCTTGGATGCGTGTGTCTGCGGACATAAATAACCAGGAATCGAAAAACACACACATCACACTGCAATTGAAATCACCAGTGTCACGTGACTTTAAACGCTCACTCTCTCTCTCTCAACCGTCTACTTACCAGCATGTCGAATGATTAGATCCTGGTCGAAAACCACGCAAAATGGAAACAGTTCAAAGAAATCGTCGCTCTTGATATGCCAGTTCTCGCGAGTCCTTAAAGTCGAGCCAAGATCCGATTTGAACTCTTTGTTGTCAAAGTAAAGTCTGAAAACCGCACCGAATGTATTATCTGATTTCACATCCTCCGACACCACCTCCACCTGAATGTCTAAATTATAAAACTTCCTACCAACTTGTTTCAGCTGACCAATTGAATAGTGTAGAAATCCCTTTCGTTTACTACGGTAAATTAGGGTCAGTCCATTGGCAGTCTCTTCTGTTACGAAAAAGCTTGGCGGTTTGATCATTGGATAACTGAAACGTAAATATTCATGTAGATTGTCCAAGCCGTTTAGGAAATCCCTCATATGGCGGCCCAGAACTCGGAGAACTCTGTCATATCCATATTTGCCTACAAATCCAACAAATGAGACACCAAATGAGAGCATTAAGTCCTTTTTCTCCACGCAACAAACACCGTTAGCGGCATTCGTAATGCGAGGAATAAACTTTTCACTGTATATTTGATGGGTAGCGAAGGTGAATTTCTGTAAGCCGGCGCGTTCCCTGATCATCATCCATTTTTCCTCCCCGTAGCGGTCCCGGAGGTACTCGCAAATACTCTCAATAATCAAGCCGTACATACTGCTGAATATTTCAACATCAAAGTCAGTTAGTAATGAGCATCCATCTATACCAGTATCTAGATTGTAGTAGTACACTCCGAGCAGAGTCAGATCGCAATACCTCTCCCGCCGAATGCGTACTACTGCGTGTATTCAGCAACTTGTTGGTACGACCGGCTGTCAAACAAGTGTGTACATAACTGTAACGATTTGCTCTGGAGATGCACTAATCGCCTGGCCATGCCGGCAACTGAAGTAGCTTTAATTCACCAACGGGTCACATAACAGATCAACTCCTTAACTCGGTGAAGATTTTGTTCTTCATAAATTTGCATATACCGTCACGTGCGTACTTGTAGAGGGGTAAGTCGATCGAACCATGCTGATCGAGAGACCGACCTACAGAGAAAGGAAAAACAAAACATGTGTTATACGGCATGGGGGCACCGTAGCATTTGTTAATGCCAGTCAGAATACAAATCAATGAAGTGAGCTGAAAACAAACCACAACATAAATAAACCAGACCGGCGACTGGCATATGATTTGCATTGATTTGTCGTATTTTGTGATGACTTGTCCGTCGCTTCGTGTTCATCAAATATGCCCAACACACATACATTGATGCATATTCTACTGCCAACAACATCCCCTACGTATGCAAAAATACAGTGGATGGGTAATGTTCATTCCAAGATAGTCATACCCCTCCCCGCACGTGTGGATACGTAACGACACAATTCAATATAGACGTCGAAACCAATTACACATTTCGTGCGTCATTGGTCTTGGCGATCTAAGCGAACACAGAGGGCGCTTAATGTAATTGATTCTTGAAACCGATAGAGAAAAAATACGATACAATTGTTTATGGAAACAATTTGCAAAAAAAAAAAAAAGCGAGTGTGCGTACGTTGCTGTTTTTAATTGTCACTGTGGCGGACTTTTGATTTGAAAAGCTGACATCGAATTAATGTATATTTGTCGAAAGAAGTACATTCAGTTCAATTTTTTGTTGTGGCTGAATTATTGCGAGTTGTGTTGGTAGTAGAATATTATTAATTACTGGGTTTTTTTTCATGATATGTTTCATATTTCAAATAAACACCGAACAGCCATGTGAACCCTTTTACTCAACGTTTGATGTGCAAATATCAAAAATCGAATATTAATTTCCATGGTAACAAACGCTTACGTCACAGTATTGGCTCGCGGATAAATTAACAACCCCCAGTTTCCATCGACGAGCACAGGGAAGACATTCATTCATTTATTGAAAACAAAATCTCGCACACAATGAAAACAATCTGCAAAACCGATCTGCAATTTACTGAATTTTATACTGGAAACAATATCGTCACTTTGAAGACCGTATATATTCGATTGAATGACATGATCAATTTTGGAGTTATTATTGAGATCAATGCTTTCTTGATGTTTTCGTGACGGTTCCACAATGAAAAGCGATTTCTTCATTTGATATCATTGACCCACGCTGTATAAGTATACATTCTCGACTGATGACTTGAATGACGTTTCACCACTCAGGGGTGATGCATCATTGAAGAGACTGCAAGATCGCGATAAAGTGAAACAAATATTAGTATATTGTTGTCAGCCCAGCTATTAAAATAACGCTTAATCCGGCGGTAGAAAGGTGTGCCAGTACAAATAGTGGCGTAAATATAGCTTCAAAAATATAACGATGTAGATATTTGGAAATGTGTTCAGACACGTTCTTCAATAAAATTGACTAGTTCGATAAAGTATTGTTTGTTTAAAACAAAACTGACAAAAACAGACTGATATCACGATTATTTAATTTCAAGACGTCATCACCATGTACACACGGTCAAGATATACAAACACTGAATAACTAACGTAACATATATTCTACGTGATGAAATTCAAACAAACATTGGCACATGTTTCAGAGTTAAGGAGTTCCCATGTGAATATAAAATTACATTATGTTGTCATCACAATAAGTAATTAGTTTATATATGTATATTTTAATCGCAATGATTAAGTACGCAAAACGCGAGGAGGTGAAGTAGTGGTAATATGTGCTCGGCTAAGATAAACACGACAATAATAATTTGCATAATTATTGTTACATAGCATGTTGGTAAATGATGATATCTACATATATGCAAGCGTACTATTTTATAATAAAAAAAACAATAAATAAATAAATCAAATTGTTAATTCCTTGATATTATCTAATTCCTGATAATGATATATTAGATGTCATCAATTAACAATACATTTTTCATGCGATCTGTGTATGTCCTAAATAATGCATTTGAAATAATTCTACCCAGGCATGCTTTGTTGTTTTAGTAGCAATTTTACTGCCAGTCGGCAATAATTTCAATCACGACATAAGACAGCCAGATTAAGTCAAACTACTAATAATGGTTTAATAAGTCGCATTGTATCTTTTTCAATTGTTTTCTATACATATGATGGACCATGAGTCAACGATTTACGGCTGCGCACGCGCCGCACACACATGACGTCATGATTAAAAACCAACTATATCACTTCCCTGTTGTTGGACTACCTCAGCATATGCACAGCGAATGCCATCATTTATGTGGGAAACAAAAACATTACGTGATCGATCGTCATTTAAGTACATAGATAATTAATATTCAAGACATTACTAGTAATTCGATTTTGCCGACGTGAATGCCGTATCGTGTGAATGACCTTTTGTCCGATTCTCAGATGTTCTTGAGATTAGAAATTCTATAACATACAGTGTTACAAAGGGTGGCGTAATAGTTCTCAGAATACACTTAGCAAAGATTGTTAACTATTTGCCAATTGGTAAAACAATATATATAATATATTATCTAAGTTATCTGTTTTTTTTGTTTTTTTTAGTATTTTGGATTATTTGATTCAATAAAACTATAGTTATGTATTGTTCGTTAGTGCAGTCAATTTATGTCATTTAGATTTGTTGTTACCCTTTCAATACTGTGAATAGTGTTTCGACCATACTCATACTACAATATACAAGTCTCCATAGATTTACTTTACACATGGTACCCAGAATAAACGATGTCATTACAAAGGCGAATCATCAACCACACTGGTAATTACAATATTGACAAACCATAGCAGCGCACTACCCACTCTAAATGTGTATGTCCGGTTTCTGAAAAAACAATCCTCCCACGAATCGTGTTATATTGGTGAAATAAAACAGTTTGAAATACAAACGTGGTCAATTGCAAGGACGTTCTATTTTTTAATTAGAGAGAATTACATTCATGGGTGTTTATGTTACTCTGGGCCTTGATACTAGTACAAGTTTTAAGTATGGCGTGAAGCATGAATGGGTATGTTAATAATTATAGCAGTTCTGCTATATTTGTAGCAATCATATAGATATATAGTAAACATTTAGCGAAAAATACAAATGTGAACACGTTATTTCATATTGGAGCACGATGTTGCTGTTTCAATTTTAAAATATATCCGAGCCCTGTCGCACTTACCTACACCTTCAACTCTTGATCTGGTTTACTTCGACACTATATCTCGTCGTATCTTATTATCCCGAATATTTAAAACAAATGCAGCTTTTGTACAAATATATGTCACATATATTTAAAATAAATATCTGAAGATTAGATTCCTGCTGCCTGTCAGCCGAATGTAGTTATTTAACGCAGGTATTTAATAAAACTGGAGAGTCATCCGACGAGTCGATGTCAATCATTCGCATGCATCTTGAAAATTGACTGAACAGAATGAGGCCACCAAGTTGTCGATGTAAAGCGTACTGTCAGTAGGAGCCGCCTCACCAAAGAAATGACACACAACCGATAAATTCTGTTTACTTTATTATTGTAATAGTGCTTGCGTCTCGAACTACGTTTTCTTCCATTCTTTCCTCTACGGAAGAGGTTATTGCCTTTAATTATAAGTTTTTTAATCATTGTATTAATTAATTATTGTATACCTTGCATTAGATAATTGGTTTATCCTCGATACTTTGTTGGCCGTTCAAAGAATTAGAAATGACGCAATGAACAAAATTAGAGATCTATACGAATTAAACTTAAGTAAAATGTGACAGATGAACTGAAGAAGATAAAACAAACAAATCTCACGATCCTTTGCACGTGGCTAAGGCCAAGTGGCTTGTCTGATATGTGGCTGGTGAGCAAATGTACCAAGCTCCGCGCAATTCGATCAATGTTTCCATGGTAACATGTACGAAGTTTATATATTTATATACAGAACTATTTAAATTCAAGTGTCTGGTTTGTTCTCGATTTACAAAAGAGATCATGACTTGTTATATAGATGATATATAATCACATTCTTGTGTTGATATGATGCATGCTTTCATTTCCACGTATTTCCCACTTTATTTACTCGTTGCAACGGTTGCGTAATTATTCAGGGGTGATGTGATCATTGACAAGAACACATGTGCCTATTTACTGATTGTAGCACTGCTGTTCCCAGAACGATCAAATTTAAAGTGTTTCAACAAGTAAAACGTCTTGTTTGGTATTCATCTTGCCGGCAATTTGAAAGTTGGGGAGGGTTAAAATTGAGCATGTACATACCAATAATTTAAAACGCATGCGCAGTAGGCATAGGTCTCTATTTCACCACATGAGTATCAAGTTGACTGTTTAGTGTGTCGTCAAAATAAAAACGTTCTAGTTTGTCATTTGAAAAATACCATCGCTGCGATAAGTCAGTGTGAGTGAATGTGTAGTAAATACTATATAGTACAACAAAATAATACTCGACTTACCACCTTTGAGATCTAGCAAACAGACTCGATACAAACATATTTGTTGTTTTTTTGTGGAAATTGATCCCCCAGAAGTCTATATTCGGTTTCCAATAGTGATTTATCTGACCTGATCGTGTTTCTATTAGCAACCGAATATTCATCACGAACACAGCTGACAGCGCAGCCTGCTCCTCCCGGACAGTAGGTGAGTACTGAGCAATTATCGATCAGTCATAAAGATTATAACTT